ACACAAAGTTAGTTCAGTTTTTTCCACTTCTGGGTGCTTTGAAGCAAGTTCCCTGAACTTCTCCCAGTAGTAAATCACATCTTTCAACTGTTTAGCTGACATATGGTCATCACTTTCAATTTCCTCCTCACCACTGTCGGCCTCTACCTGTAACATCTCATCCAGTTGCTTCAAGTCATCAGGAGTAAGTTCCTCCTCATGAGACATCACAAGCTCTTCCACATCCTCCTCCTCCACTTCAAGGCCCAATGACTGACCAATGGACACAATCTCTTGGTCCAACTCTGTTTCTTCCTCAAATCCCTCAAAATCATGGACTACTGATGGCCACAGTGCTTTCCATGAAGAATTGAGGGATCTAGTGGAGACTTCTTGCCATGATGACACAATCAATTTTACAGCCTCCAGGATGTTGAATTGTGTCTTCCAGAACTGTTTCAGTGTTAGTTCAGGATCATTGGAAGTTGCCTGATGACACCTTCTAAACATTTTCTTCATGTACAACTTCTTGAAGTTGCTGATCACATTCTGGTCCATTGGCTGTATGATTGATGTAGTGTTTGGAGGCAAAAACAACACTTTCACAAAGTCAAATTGATACTCCAAAGTTCTGGCAAGTTTAGGGTCATAACCAGGAGCATTATCCATGAGGAGAAGAGCCTTTAAAGGGAGTGTATTGGTGGTTAGGTAGCTCTTGACAGAAGGGCAAAACACATCAACAGCCCATTCATTAAAGAGCTGTCTTGTCACCCATGCCTTACGGTTGGACTTCCAATAAACTCCAAGCTTTGTTCTTACCACTTTCTGTTGCTTGAACACCCTGGGGTTTTCAGAGTGGTAGACAAGCATAGGCTTCAGTCGGAAATCCCCTGAAGCATTGGCACCAAGCAATAGAGTGAGACGGTCTTTCATGGGTTTATGCCCAGGTAAAGAGGCTTCATCTTTGGTGATGAATGTTCTTTTGGGCATCTTTTTCCAGAACAGCCCAGTTTCGTCCACATTGAACACTTGCTGTGGAAGATAATTTTCTTCTTCCATCAGTTTATTAAATTCATCTAAAAACTTTGCTGCCCCTTCTTTATCAGCACTAGCAGCTTCACCATGCCAAACAACACTGAAAATGTCACTTCTTTTCTTAAATTTTTCGAACCAGCCTTTGCTGGCCCGAAAATCTTCAAATTTTGTGCCTGAAGAACCAGGTTGATCTGCCTTTAAATGTTCGTAAATCTCCCTGGCTTTTTCACAAATGAATTCAGTAGAAACTGAATCACCTTTCATCTGTTTTTCCCTAATCCAGATGATAAGTAACCTCTCAGTTTCTGCGATTAGGGATCTACTTTTAAACACTCTTGTAGATTTGTCTCTCACTTTCACTTCTTTAAATTTGTCTTTCTGTGCAAGATTTGTCGACACAGTTGATGTCGACATGCCATATTCTTTGCTAAGCACATTTGTTCTAATGCCTTGTTCATGTTTTTTTATGATTTCCTGCTTGGTTTGGATTGAAATAGCTTTTCTTGATCTCTTAGGCCCTATGCTGGATTCAAACAATGTCAACACGTGTTTTTCAAAGTTAAACTTGTTGTAAATAAAGAATATTTTCTTTAAAATAACACTGCACTGCGCTATATATTGTCAATATGTAAAATAAATTTCAAAATGACCAATAATTTGCTTGGAAACACAGAAAAAAAGCATTTAGTTGAAGAGAGTCTCAAGCAAGATGTTACCTCCAGTGAAAACAGAGAGACTAACGCCTGTTTGCTGTGTTAAGAGGCTGGATGCCGCGCATTAAACTAGTCACTTTACCTTCAATTATGTTCAATAATTGTTAAAATGACTAAAAAATTGAATATTAAACTTTTAAAATTATTGAACAGTATAAACTTCTCGAAATATACTAAAATAGTAAGGAATTTAAGCCCTAGAGCCGATTTATGTATTGGCGGACTAATACTACAGCTGGCTGACCGGCCAGTGCAAGCGAAAACATGTTGAGGTCGGCTTGTAAGAAACTCGTTAACCGAGGGGTTGCTTGTTAACCGAATTTAAGAATCTTATGGGAGGCAGCTCGTTAACTGAAATTTCGTTAACCGAGGCGCCCGTTAACCGAGGGACCGCTGTAATTAAAATAGAGACTGGGCCAAACTCCACTTTTTGCCGACACAATACGTACGTTGTAGTAAAAATAACATCTTAATTATATGATGGTATGAACACATAATTAATAATTAAGAGAAATATCAATAATATTAGGTTTTTTAACACTTACGTTAGTAGAAAAGCTGTCGGCACACGTGGATGGCGGCTGGTTCCAAGGCAGAGGGCAGATTAGTTGCCCTCCGGTGAATCACTTTCACTACTCGCAGAGGTTTGCAGGGCCTCCCAGATAAACCTCTCAAAGTCCATATCCTCACTGTCAATATCACTATCACTGACTTGGGCTGGCTGTGGTTGTGGTGGGTTGCGGGCGAGGAAGTCCTCAATACTACGTTGACGACTAGCATTGATGTTGTCGAGATAGATCTGGATATACGGCTCCATAACTTTCGTCAGATGGTTATTAGACGCTTCATACCGATGCTTGTTTGGGTCGTTGTCAAGGATGAGCTTAATTTTCTCCCCCAACTCGATGATTTCCTTCACACAATCATGGCTTGGTCCAGGTAATTCAATGTTTTTCTCTGGTGGTGGAGGTCCCGCGGAAGCCATTGTGAGTTGTGAGGGGAATAGCGGGCAGAAGAGAGAACTGTATACGTGGACTGAGAACAATGAGACAGGCCCTGCTAGGTCAGCGACTTCTACCCTCTGGGTGGCAGGGCACGTCATGTTACATTAGACCAATCACAGCTAGTGAAAGTCGTGGTGCTAATCAGTCATTACTTGCCTCCTCAATGAGTACTAAAAAGCAAGGAGCGCAGCGTAAATGACCAAAGGCGTTAACCAAAACCCCGTAAATCCAGACTATACTGTATATACTGTATATACAGCTACTCCTCGACTTACGACATACTTGACCTACGACCACCAGGACATACGACTGCCTCAGTCGTACCAAAATTTTGCCAAATTACGTATTTTCGAATCCTAACGTTAGTGATTGCACTGTGTACTGACAAAATTTTTGTTTGTAATTCACTTTAAAATGGCTGGCAAGCTTAAAAGTGAGAGTTTTGTGGTGCTGAGAAGAAAAAGAGACACCCATTTTAGATTTTCTATGTAATATTTAAGCATTTTCGACTTACGACCAATTTGACTTACAACCTGGATTTGGGTCCGTAACCCCATCGTAAGTTGGGGAGGAGCTGTATATATAAATACACACTTACAAATGCATCGCTTCATGAGATGACTCGTATCTCTATCATAAGCAAGTTCTGGTAAGTAGAGCAGGCATACCAACACTTCAGCAAATATTGAATTAGTCCGATAAACAAAATTATAAATAATGAATTAGTGCATGTTCAGTGTGGATGTAAATCATCTAACTTCTTTAATATGGAACTAAATAATTAAGTTTTAATTCATAAAATAACTCATTCATAATGATTAAACAAACTTTTTCTTTTACATGGAATGATCAAATTAAAATAAAATACATGTTGTGAATTATAATTAATTATTCATATTTTTTTTATTAATTGACAAATATGCTGACTTAAGTATTGTTATATAGAAATGTAACAAATACTTCACCTATTTGATATTTGTTAATGTTAGCAATGATAATTAGAAAGCCTACAAGGCACTGTATGGTTTACACTACAGTAGTACCCCGATTTACGCGGTCAATTGAACCCACAGGGTACCGCGGAAAGTGAAAACCGCGTAAAGTGAACAACAGAACATATGGGATTAATTCCAATAGAGACTGGCCCGACCCCCAAACTCCACTTTTTCCGACACAATACCTATGTTGTAGTAAAAATAACATCTAAATTTTATGATGGTATGCTCACACAATTAATATTTAAGAGAAATACAGTCGCCAGGTTAATGTCCATTCAAATAACGGACTCAAATCCCCCTCCCCCCCTCTTCCCAGCTCACTAGCTCCTACCTCTCTGATTAATGTTTGGGTGAAAACACTAGATTTTAACGTTTAGTAATAAATAATACCTCAGACTAAAGTTAGGATAATATAATTGACATTTCTGGATTCCTTGCAGGTCAGGGAATATTTTGAATGTAAACTTCATATATTTTGCACAAAAGATAAAATATTTGCTTTGTGTAAACCAAATTATTACTTTAGATCTAAAATTTGTATGTCTAATGCAAAATCCATGATATTTATATTCAAAATGATCATCATATTGTAAGAATTCCAGCAATGTAAATTATATTCTGGTCGAGTAATTTGTATGAATTTTATGAGCTAAAACAAATATCTTCAGTTCATAAAAAAAAAAAAAAATATTCTTCACGACACTATCTGTCAATCAAAGTACCCCACCTTGCCTCCCCCCTCCCTCCTCACACTCACGCCAGTTGGGTGGGGGTCGATTAACCACTCACACCTCCCTGCAGGTCGTGTGTGGGTAGCTCTGGAATTTTAACGTTTAGTAACAAATAATACCCCAGACTAAAGTTAGGATAATATAATTGACATTTCACAGTTCCTTTGAGTCAGGAGAATATTTTGAATGTAAACTTCATATATTTTGCACAAAAGATAAAAATATTTTGCTTTGTGTAAACCAAATTATTACTTTAGATCTAAAATTTCGTGTGTCTAATACCAAAATCCATAATATTTATGTTAATGATCATCATATTGTAAGAATTCAGCCAATGTAAATTATATTCTGGCGGAGTAATTTAATATGAGTTTATTAGCTAAAAAAAAAAAAAAAAAAAAAAAAAAAATTATACTTCACCGTGTATATGAGTAGATGCACCGCGGAAAGTGAGTCTGGTTCTGGCAAGATACTGCATAAATGAGAAATCGCGGAAAGTGAAACCGTGTAAAGCGGGGTAATACTGTATACTGTACATGTCAGACATAAGTATTTCTAAAGCTTGCTTGAAGTGTAGATCAGAATTATATTTCTGACCTGATTGATGCGAGTGATAAAGGTGCGAGCAGTATTCCATACACCACGCACCAGATCCTCTGGGATGATGCTCACCAGTTCATCTGGCAATGCACCAACAAGGTCAACAGGAAGCTCTCTTGATTCTGGGATTTGGTCTGTGGCTGCCCCTTGACCTTCACCAGATTCACCGCCATCTCTGATCCTTGATGTATGGCCAAGTTCTTTATGCTGTAAAAATATTTTTTTTCTAAACTAAGAGGAAGTAAAGGTCCAAATAATTTTTAAAGACCCTAAAACAAGCCTACGCAAAACATCACTGTCACCCACATGTATATGCATAATACATATTTAGTATGCATAAAATGTGTTTTATTTATTGCTGTAAAGTAGTTATATGATTAAAATGTGTTTCCGTACTTGTTATTTTAGATTCGCTAACAAATATAATCTAACTAGACCAACTAGGAAGAGACCTCTCCCTTATAACATTGATGTACAGTAAAAGGAAAAAATTGCTTCATTATTCATATAACATTTATATATATGGACTTTTAGGAATGGAACCCATAATAATAACAAGGACCTACTGTGGTGCTATATGAGTTGTACTGTAGCATAAATGCATTTTTATCATTGTCAATTACAAGTAACTATCACACCACACTTACCTGAGCTGAGCTTGGTTGTTCACAAACAACACCTTGCATGTCTTCTGACCCAGAGACCCATGTTGTTTTGTTTTGCTCTTCTTCTTGTAACTGATCATCATGGTCAGTATTACCAGCACTAACTTGTTGGACAGTGTATGTTAAGTTTGTTCTTAAAGCTTCAGTAGGTATTTCCATAAATGGTTTTGTTTCTGTAGGAGGATGTGGCATTGGTGTCTTGTTGCTTTCAAGCTCTAAATATCCTGAAGTTTCAATTTGAGATCGAAACTTACAATCATGGGTGGTAGAATTTCTGGTTGGGAATACTTCAATGATTGTCCTTGAATGGCTACCTTCCTGGCTAGCATTTGAAGAAGCTGATGCCCCTCCACTGTCAATTAAACACTCTCTCTGGTCATCTTGAGATTCGGAGGCAACTGCAGTAGTACGATCATCTTCATCTGCTGTGAGAAAGTCGGGAGAATCAGGTCGGTCAGCTTCTGAAAAAACAACAGGTGCATTTTCAGGTGAATCAAGCAGAGTAGCTTCCGCAAGACCTATGAAATGGTAAAGTACAACATGGTGGAGGTCAGTTAAGTTGTTACTGCATAATATAATAAAAGGAAAATAAGTAAGATCTGTGAGAAATGATAAAAGTTTTAAGCATGGTGAACATGTGCAAGCCTTCTCTGATGGACTCGAGGAACTCCTTGGTAAGTTGACCAGTATTACAGAAAGACCTGGCTAAGGCTGTGTTACGAACCCCTCCACCCAGCACTACGAAGCACGCCATCTATTGTCCTGATCTACCTACCCAGCACCACGAGCAACGCCATCTAGGGACGAGACACGAGTATGACTCGTCTTAGTTACCACTCCGAGGTTTCCCTTCTCCCTATCCTGGTTGTTGCGTCACCTCCTCAGTCTTCTTTGTCAGCTCCAATTCGAGGAGAGAGGACTTGGCTCTGGGAAGTGACCACAGGATCATCTATCCTCTAAACCTACGTGCAGTGACTACCTACCGTCTTCTACAATACTCAGCCTTACTCGTCAGCCATCTCAGCTCCTCACTTAAGTACTAGTATCTTGTATTAATTTCCCCACGTCCACTTGCTTCGAGATTGTTTTATGTTTATTAATATGTATATACTGTTAATGTTTAGGTTAAATTTGGTTAAGGGTAATTTATAAGCTGAATATTTTGTTAA